CAATACATCCAAACATCTATCACACTATATTTCAACAAGGCAACCAAACATAAATCATTTTAATTAATGGTGCAAGGAAGGCATATTAAAATTTAAATTACTTCTGTTTTATTGTGCACCCCCCCAAAAAATGGGGCCTCTCTGAAAGTAATTCAATAAAGGTACCAGGAGCCCTCCTCAACAATAAAAATCAAGTGCAATATAGAAGCATTATTACTATGTAAAAGAAACAGCACAGCTGTTGCTGGCAAAGAAAATTATTCTATAGAGCTCTGGTTGGAAGCATCCCCCTCAAAGCTTGCCTTAGAAGCAAACTGGGTTTTTAAAAAAGCAACATTTAAGTTGCTTTCTAATTTAAGATTCACAACATCTTTCTGTATCATACTGAATACACTAAAGACACAATGAACTTCACTGTGCTTCCTTGAGAATGGAGAACTTTGGCTAAGGACACTAGAGTAACATGCAGATTCGTCTTTCCCTATGTCGTCAAGGAAGCTTTGTACCACTCTCCTTGACAGCCAACCAGAAAGCTTATGTTGACCACCTCATGAGCCTTACATCTGTAATTGTGTGGAGTGTCTACCTATCCCAAACAATTTGACTATGTGGCTGTCATTTCTGCTGTCCCATTTAGACAAACAAAACTACCATGAATACCAAAAATACCAAAAATAGCCTCTAAGGTAAACAGTAATGAAAATTATATTTTCTGATAGCTTATTCATAACTCAGTACATAGGGAGCTTTGCTTTAATCCCTTCTGTCTTCCTTCTTTTAGTCAAAGGCAAAAGGGAAGGAGATGTCTATGTCCTTGTTAAAGAAAAACAGTTGTACCTGGAGTTGGTGGCACACGCCTTTAATCCCAGCACTCAGGAGGCAGAGGCAGACAGATCTCTGTGAGTTCCAGGCCAGCCAGGTCTATAGAGCTAGTTCCAGGACAGGTTCCAAAACAATACAGAGAAACCCTGTCTCAAAAGCTCATAAAGGAAAACAATTGCTGTGAGGATGCTCAATGGGCAGCATCAGCCTCAAACAGGAGGCAGGTGATGACTTCCCCTCAGAAGAAATTGCCCTTGGTAGAGCAGTTCACAAACACCACACAACCTACAGCTGACCAATGGTAGGGCCTTCCACTCATCTTGTAAGAGCTCTCTTTTTAGAGTTATTGCTATATAAAGCCCTCCAGGTCACCATTGCTCCTGTTTCTGACTCTGTGTGAAAGTTGGGCACATGGAGGCATCTTGTAATGGCATCTTGCCTTGCCAGGGAACTTGTAGTGCTGGCCATACCCTGTGGGCCAAACCCTGTGGTTTCAGGTGCAAATGTGACCCATTATAAGGTAGAGGAGAGGCTGGTTCATGCTCTTAGGTTACAGAGAGCATGGGAAGGACAGATACCTCATCTTCAGGAGCAGAAAGAGCCACGGTGGTTATTTACTCTTATCTGTGTAAGTTGTTCCCTAATAAATGCCTATTTATCTTCTATCTTGGGTCTGGTGGACTCCTTTAAACCCCGCCTTCAGAATATGCTGTATTTTCAGTCACAGTCACTCTCTCTAAAATTCCTGAAAAGAGTTCCTTACAATGAATGGCAAGAAAGAAAATTATAAATAGCCACAATAAAAGTGTCTCAAGTGGCCACACAGTCTATGGCAGACAACTTTGACTTGACTTTTGTATCTTATGCCTTACTTCAGCAGCCTGGTGAAGCTATAGAACCTTTCTCGTGTTAACTAAGCAAAATTTGAATACATGGGATTTTGAGTACATGAATAATATTGAAGTTAAATTATAAATATATTACATTTATCAAATCTATTAAAAGTCTGTTACAGGAACCGGCATGAGAGCAAGTAATAGACATGTTACTTATAATGTCTTTGAAGTCATGAGGCATGGAAAATGTGTTTCAAAAATACCTGAACCATAAATATGTTATAGAAACTATGTGTCTTTCCACATGGTGGATTACAGATACTCAACTCAGATCATGAGACTTGGTGGCAAGTGGCTTTTAGCCCTGAGCCATCTCTCCTGCTTCCCAAAAAGCAATGACTCTAACCAGTCATTTGAACTTGGGAATATCAGAATGAGCCTAAAAACATAATTATTTTCATATTTTTACAACAAAATAGTCATCAAAAACCTGTAGCTTAAAACAATAGAAACTTGTTTTCAATCACTTCCAGAAGTCAGGAGTCTGAATTCGGTCTCAGGGAGGTTAAAAGTCCATAGTTAGTTAGCTGCTTCCTTCCTCCGGCTGTGGTGGGAACTGTTTTTGCCTTCCCAGCATCTGCTCACACCAGTATTCCTTGTCTTGAGGTGTGTATCACTCCAGTGTGTCCCTATTGCACTGCCTTCTCCCTTCCTGTGGTTCAGTTTCCCTCATAAGAGGTATGGTTATTTGTAGCTGACATCTAAATTATTCTATATGACCTCCCTATCACAAGAGCCTAAATAATCCGATTTTTAAAGACCCTGGAGTCTCTCCAATTACTTCCCATTCTCAGGTGAATAAAAACTTTCTAGAAGACATAGGAGGGAGATCCTTCTGCATGAGGGTCTTGCCAAAACCCAAACTGCCTTCCACACTAGGGCTCAGCCCACCACAAAACACACACACACAAACACACACACACACAAACACACACAAACACACACACACACACACACACACACACACACACACACACACACACCGAAATGCCCTTCAATAATGGATTAATGGCACATTTTCTTTATTATTGAAAACATGTTTGAGATCATAGACTCAGTCAGATTCCCCTGGAAAATGTTCTTCCTATATTGCTATTAGGTACTTAGGGACCTTCATTTACACCTCTAACCCATATTTCTTATTGTAGGAATGTATAATTCCCCACTTCAGAGTACAGTAGCTGCTGCCTTCTACAAGGTTAACACATATCTGCCAAGGGTGAATGAAGAATTTTGCCTGTGCCTTACCCGGGTTTCTCAACCTCCTTTAGAACACATTTGCTACAGTTTACCTAGATGTGACTTCAAGTTCACCTTCAGGACTTGCTGTTTCTCATTGTATGCCTCTAACTATAAAAAGAAAGTGGCTGCCTCTGCTAAACAAGCTTCTGAACTAATGAGAAATCACGCTATTTTTGAAGCTAGGGACTCTTTCTGAAATCCCATAATAACTTGGTGGACTTCTCAATGCCTTGCATAAATAATTCCATGATTTATTATCTCCAAAGCCTCAGGTTAGAATGCAACTGCTCTCACCAGCAGATAGTAGGACCTCCTCTATAATATCCAAGATTATATTCTAAGCCAAATTTCACAATATATAGCAATTACTAAAAACGGTCCATTTCTGTTGTGGTTTTTTTTTTTTTTTATGTATCTTTAAGGGAACAAGCACACACTTTGACACGTATGCACACTGTGACCAATAGTAAATGAAATTATAAACTAATGAAGGGAGGAAACTCGCCACTGTAAAATTTAAATTAAAAATGCAAGGAGCACAAATCACATTAGGGCACCTTTTTGCTTTTTAATTTGAGACTCAAGAATGCCATCCACCCCCAAAATAGCCATATCTAAGATAATCAAGATTCTACCAGGAAACTATTTGAGCATAAACTGCTGTGGCAGGAACTTGATGAGCTCAGCAAAGAGACAGGAAGAGTTTCATCTTTCCTGTTGTCAGAGTTAATGCTGTGCTTTCTCTGTGGGCCAACTACCCTGAGATGAAGGACTGGAAGGCTCTTTCATGACAGCAGGCTGTGGTACAGATAATAAGAAATGTAGATAGAACACAAAGCATGGCCTGACATCTTGAGAAGCTGAAATCAGGTAACAAAGGTGAAGAGGACAGGGCGGGGCAAAGCAGGGTGGGGAGGCAGTCTACTACTATGTCATAACACTCCCATCAGATGGAGAAAGTGTGCTTACATGAGTAACACTCTCACAAGTGATAGGAACACATTGAAAGATTTTTCCAGGATAATCTTTCCTATACACTCCAGATAAAAGGGGATTAAGTAAAATATGCTAATGTATATAAGTTATGCACTATCTCGTAGGAGGCTGAATAATACCTCTATAAGGATGCCTGGGACTTAATTCTCTGGTACTGTGAATAAAATACTTTACATGGTAAAGGGATTATAGAGATGTGATGATTAACAACCCTGAGATGGAAGATGACCCTGTAGTATCCAAATGAGTCCAACTGGGATATATAGGTCTATAACACCGGGCAGCCTTCTCCACCTGGATTTGGTCAAATGATCATGGAAATAAACGACAGAGTGGCACTGGCTCTGAGGATGGATAAAAGAGGTCACACGGCAAGAAATGAGGGTGTCTTCTTTACACTGAAAGTGATGGACTCTGGTCCTGAATTTCAAAAAGGCAGGCATACCCCTCCCCAGGGTGAACCCAGTGAAACCCGCAAAAGCTGTAGTGAAATGACTGTTAGGTAAAATGTGTGGTGCTTTTACAAGTCAAGCAGGTGGTGACTTGTTAGCCCAGCAGCAGGGATCCCCACACCACCAAAGTCTTCCACAGGCTTCCTGCAAACGTGAAAATGGCATGAATGGAGCCTGCTCACCTGTCTCTGTCTCTGAAGGCGTTTAACCGACAGCCTAACTTCTGCATTGGACTCACCTCTAAAATACGTTACAGCTGGAAGATAAAAGAACACAGCTGCCAGACCCATGGTGCTCATGAGGTCAGTAGAAAACAGCACCCTTTATCCAAACTTGAACTTGAGTGGAAATAACAGTCGTCCCAACTGTCTCCAACCTTTCAACATGTTCTTCCCACTCACCTGAGTCCTGAAGTACCTCTGAGGTGAGTTTTACACTAGATAGTGGCATACGTGTAAAATAATTGAAATTCAAGTTGCTAACTAAAGCTATGCTTCTATGGACCACGCAGCATCCATCCACACGCCAGGCCTTACTTTGTAACTCGATGCTTTGAAAACACACGAAGAGCAGAGTTGGAAGTTCTCCTTACCACTTTACAGCAAAGGGGCCAAAACCACCACATCAAAGCGATGCCCAAGAGCAGCAACAACACCAAAATAGCTATGATGGCCGCGATCCCATTAGACTGCAGAGGGAAAAGTAAACAGACAAAGAATAAAGTTTAAGGTCAAATCCCACATGTTATTTATTCTTTTAAGGAAGCAGGGGTGGGGTGGGGGGAAATGAGCACAAAAGGCAAAACCGTGTCAGAAATTATGTTACATTCTTTTAAATTTTATTCATCCCTTTTGATTTCATTTAATGTGCATCAGGTTATGTTAATAAGATGGTCAATACTGCAGCATCTTCCAGCATTCTACAGACTGATTTAAACATGTCTAAAAAGACTGTGAGAAAGAACCACAACTTTTGAGGATTAAACAGAGAATCCCTTAGGGACTTATGTGCTTAAGTGATGAAAATTATGTTGGTTTAAGCTCGATGTCTTCCAGGCAGAATTTCCCCAGGTTTTATGATGTTGCAATTACTTTACATACTCGGGGGGTGGAAAAGATACAAGCCACAGGTGGATAAGCAAACACAACAGCCATTTCTCTGTATGCCTCAATGGAAATGCGGCCTAATGAGTCCTTACTTCTGGTGACTTCTGGTCATGGTTCACTCGTGACCCTGGCAAGACCTTCACTGTAATTGGCAGGCTCTTACACCTTTAGGCACCTGCTCTGGGCTCCCTATAATCCTCACTGCAGAAACCACTGATTCATCCTTTAGGTTCTCATATAATCTAAGGCTAAGTTCTTCCAGCTAGGATTCCATAGCTGCAAAATGGATTAGACAGCAAATTTAGACAGAATTTTGCTACAGTTTAGCTATAGCATTTTTACAGTGGAATTAATTATGAGCTTTGGATAATTTAATTTCATTTTTCTGTCATGAATGTATGTCTCCCAGGAACCCAAAGGCCACTTCCAATCAGTTTACTACTTGTTGTTACTCTTTGCTTAATGTTTACAAACTGTGTACCAAGAAAATGAACTACAAAGCAATTAAGACTCCACATGACACAGATGTCCAAAAGAACATAGACACTTTCACTTTTTCAAAGAGTTTAGAGGAAACTTATGTCTCTGCCAAATCCCAACTTCTCTGGTATCCCCAGGGAAACTTTCAGTTGGTTGTCTTTTGCAGGTTTTGTTTGTTTTAAAAGAGAAAGAACTCAGAAAAGAAAAACAAAGAGAAAGAAATATTCTCTAGAGAATTTTAGACAAACATGTAAGTATTGTCTTCTTCAAGCTAACAGAAGACAATCAGAGTTTGGATCAGGAAACCACAGGAAGTCCATGATCCTTCCTCATAAGTCACACACACAAAAAGGAATCATGCTCACCCACACAGGCACAGTTATAATAAGTACAAAAGCAGACGAAAGGAAACATATAGGGAAAGCATGTTCTAGAAGGACATGGGAAGCTATAGAATACACCAAGAGAATCACATGCATTCTTGTCCTCACCTTAGCTGCAGGGTCTCATGGGGACAATTCCCTCCCCAACTTAGGCCCAGAAACTCACAAAAATACTGTGGGATTGTGCTATACAACTTCAAAAAGAGGTCTACAAACATATGATTCACTCTTTTCTTAGCATTTACACACTGTTTTCACAAAAGACAAAATGCAACTAGAGGCCATGGATCTGCTAAAACTGAGTGGCCAGTTTGTTCTTTCTATGCATGTACAATGAACAAGAAACTCACAAACCTGAGCTGACTATTGGAATTTTTTCCCTCAAAATTAATTGCCTCTATTAGTAAGGCTGACCAAAAAAAAAAGCTGCCCCGCAATGGAAATTCAGTGTGACGACTGACTCCAAAGACTGTCTCCAGAACTTAACACTAGAATACATGGGTTCTGGAGAATTCCCAGTCTCACTTTGCTTTGTCTCAACCAGGCATAATGGAAATAGTATCTGGGGAAGCAATGACTTAAGGCTACCCAACCTTGCTTTGTATGTCTGTCTACAAGAATCCCAGCTTTCCAACTCCCTTTGTTTTTGTTGTCAGAGCTATCACCAGAGCATAGAACAGTCAGTGAGGAAAGGGAAATAATTTCATTGTTCACTGATTTCATAAACAGACTAAGGAGAAGCTACACATGGAAACAGAGACCTAAGAATGGATAGGATAGCGTAGACCTAGAAACCAGAGGAGGAGGAGAATGATACCAGGTCTAATTAATCCTAGTCAAGATCACAAACCAAAAGTTTCTCACTGTTACTCAGAAACATTCTCTTTAAACAGACATCCGGGTAAAAAAAATCCTCATAAATATTCAACACATAAATGCCATTTCTTTCTTGAACTAAATGAATTCATTATATGTGACATAAATCAAAATGTATTTTTCCATCCATATAAACCATACTTGATAAGCCACTTCTATATACTGGACTGTTAAATGGATGCCAGGGCCACATATCAGACACATCCCCTCATAGCCCATGGGTAACACAGATGGAGCCTGAACAAATAATGGCAAATGTGGGGAATGGGGACGAAAACTCAACAGAAGCTTGGGAAACCTGGCAGGTAATCCTTGAGGAAAGGTAAAGGGCGGGGACAGTGTGTAGGCATAACGAAAGTCCTTTCAGAAGCGAGAAGCCACTGTGCTGGAGCATAAAGTCAAAGAGAATGGGTAACACCCAAAGAGACCCAAGAAGCCAAAGGCAAACTCTGAAAAGCTGAGTTCGGGTTCTCTGGCAAAGCTTATGTGGGATTTGCTTTGCTGGAGACTCCTAAAATCCAGGGGTTTCCATAACGCTGACACTGAGGGACCTTTGCCACTCATACACACCTGTCGCTCAATGAGGAACTCCTCATACTTCACCTGAAAACTAGTCATTCTTCTGGCTCCTCAAGGATAAAAGGGGAAAGTATTCTAAATATTTCTAGATATCTTTTAGTCTCACAAATTACAATTAAGCTATTTGACAAAGGGCTGAAACTCTAAAATATACTGAAATTTAACCTCTTCTTAACCACCTCCACCGTCACCCCAAGGGACTGCTTCCTTTCCGTGCTTCTTAGATTATAGACATGCAAACAGAATCGGTGTTGATATTTTAATTTTGTCCATTTGCACACAGTGGCCAGGGAGAGCCTGTTAAGCATTAAGTGTGCAGCACTGTTCAAACTTCTTCCTTTAAGTGGGAAAAAACTCAAGTCTTCACAGAAGCTCACACTACTGGTATCAATGTCCTGCACCCCGTCTACCACTGTTTCTTCTGTGCCAAAATCCCAGTTTTCCCAGCATGTTCCTCTTTGGCATGGTCCACTGACTCTTCTTTAGGGACTGTCCACACTGTCTGGCCCATCTGCACAGGACCTTTTTATAACACGTGGTCTTGAGGACTCATCTTCCACACTTTGGCTCACATGTCACCTTCTCAATGAGAGTCAGGGACCCCTATTTAAGGGTTAGTAGTTCCATCTCCAACTGTTCCCCACATCTGACACACCCAATGCTCTTTTTAAACATTTCATTCTCCAACAACCTCCAGTAACATAACTCTCCTGAGAACTCACCAGGCTCAGATAACATGGCCTTATATATTTAATATCTGTAAGCACCAAGTGAATCGTTCTACCTTAGTGTCTCTGCACATGGCGCTAGTTCCTGGCTATACAGCAGAAATGAAGACCCATTTCCCTGCCTGCAAGGAAGAAAGATTATCTGGTGGGAGGGGGAGGTGAGGAAGGGGAAGAAAGGTACAGGAAGTGTCTTTTCAGTGTACCAAGTAGTGCTAAGCAACTCACTACACAGCACAAATATGTGTAACCTCAATCAACCACATCCTGAGAGACCAGAAAACCAAATATTACAACATCCATGAAGCCTATCAGCTGTGAAAAAAAAAATGCTACCTACAGAACAGAAAGAAATGAAAATTAAAGTTATCCAGACAGTTCAAATGGCTCAAAAGCCCACATGGCTGTTTCCTTTTTCCGACAACATTGTCTTACAATGAGAACCAGATATTTCTGCAGAGACAACATCTTATGTCTCCTGGATTAACAGATAAAAATACATTTAAAACCATGATATAAAGAAATATTAAGCTTGCTATTTTGGTATTTTAGAGGAAAAGAGGATTTTTTTTGTTTTCCCTTTATTTGCTTATACGTGTATATGTGTGTGTGTGCCCATGCACATGCGTGCATGCACACTCATGTGTGTACACATAAAATAATAGCCAAGTACAAAATCTAATTTAGAGCATCCTATTTTCATGTTCAACAATCTAACATCAAAACTTTCTATCGATATGCAAATTAACTACAGTGAAAAAGAAACAGTCTCTATGGAGTTTATGTTTTAAAGCACTGTATTTTAGATGATGCAAATAAATAACTCATTGGAAATATAGTTTCAAACTTAGCTATTACCACGTTCTCAGGATGAGATTTCTTACTTACATTAGAAAGCACAGGCAGCATCTATGTGGATAAAGTGCACCTTTTAAAGTGCACTAATAATTTTAAAATCTGATCAACATCTTAGATATTAAATTCTAACCTTCATAATAAAAAACATTTCCATATTTAATCTCCTAAAAAGAATGCTTTGTTTCTATTCACTTACTTTATGTTGATCTAAAATCTGACTTTGTGGGATTTTATAACTATTAAAATCTAATGTACAGTACTTAGAAATCCTTTAAAAGAGACCAAAGCAGAGATAAAATAAAATAAAATCTCTCTATACAAATGTTTCCTAGCCATATTGTTGCACTTGGTCTGTGGCTTCCTTGTTGTAATAAACAGTATAGAGATTCCCTAGATTATTATCTCATGATATCACTCTTTCTAAAGATAATTAGCTTTCTACTCACACATTCTGTAGCTGTGACAGTTAAAGATCTTGAGACAGCAGACTTCCCATCATTGAAACTGATTGAAACTTCAATAGTTCTACAAAAAGAATGAAGTAGCAATTAAAAGTCAACTAGGAGATGTTAACGACTTAATCTTTACCACAGCTTTTTAAAGCAATCCACACTTTCACAGTTTTACTGCTGAGGTCCAGGAAACTAAATGCTAATTAATTGCTTTGGCAGAAGTATTGAACCTAGGCTTCTACCTGATTTCTAACCCTTTCCATCATACCACTGAGGCAAGAAGAAAGGATGCCATCAAAGTGTTCATGGTGCACCTTCCCTCAACATGATAACTTAACTCCTATCCACACAGAGATAGAGCCTGAGAGAAAGCAAATGGTGCTGAAGTCAAGATCTTATTCATAACTCATATACACTCCTCTTAGCGTATTCTAACATGCCCACTTCAAACAGTTCTTCCTTAAGAAGAAAACAGTTTAGTTAAAACCAGAGAAGAAGGACACTTTTGAATTTAGTTACATTTTGCACTATTTTAAAAGAGAATGCCAAGTGGTCTATTTTTTTAAAGTCAGACCAAATTCCTTATTCTGCAGAACTTGGTGTTTATTTTCTTTTGTTTTCATGACTAAGCAGAACAGATTCCAAAAAAAAAAAAAAAAAAATCTTTCCTAATTCCCAGTTCTCCTACTTTCATATCATATGATAGGGCAGACATGGTTATTTTATTTGGAGCAAAGATTATTTTTATTTATACTAATATATTCTTGTCAGGGTAATCTCACTCACTCTACTTTATGAGGTCAGTAGAAACTGGCTGGAGTTGTTTATAATTCAGGTTAGAGTCCAACAGAAGCATTCACAATTTTAGAACTTAGTGAAGTGAAATAAGAACACAAGATGAAATTCGAAAATTAAGGTCACACTTTCCATAGAAGAAACACATGCTGAGACCTTAGTTACAAAAAAATAACTATTTATCCTCAAGCAACCTTCTAGTATAATATGACCAGTTTTGAGTAAAATTGAAACAAGTCTGTCTGCACAGATGTGAAAATCTACCCAAAGCTTCTTTTTTACACATGGTCTTCATTGAAACAATAAAATGCACATATTGGTAGCAAGATCCAGACAGTACAGTCAATAATAGCACCAATAAACTGAGTTCTTCTTATCAGCCAGAAACATTAATTCATCTCATTTCATTCCCACAGTAATCCGCTAACATTATTTCCATTCTGCAAGTCAAGAAGCTGAACTTTCAGAAGGTACTTCACTAGAAGATTGGACCTTTCTGACTTTGTAATCCAGGAACCTTCACTTCTCTAGTGTATCATTCCCCTATCCTCCACCCATATTTAGGGACATAATTAATTTATCTCATATACATTAGCCTAGGATTATTTATCCAGATTTTTCTATAATCATACTTTTTCATGGTTAACTCCAGCACCATTTTTCTAAAATGAGATATTTATTCTTGAATATGTATATTTATGAATATTTATAATTTTTGGAAAATAATTCCAAAAGTCTTGCAAACATGAGAAACACAGCAGCTTCTGCTTTTGAATTCTGTTGTTCCTTTAGAGAGAGTCTTTAAATTCCTGGTATGGTATGGCATTGTCATGAATCCAATGACTGCCCCCAAGCACAGAGGTAGTCAAAGGCCACCCTCCAGCCTAAATAACGTCAACGAGCTTTGTTTGTCCCAAGACTGCAATGTATATATATTAAATATTTTCCATCACATTTTCTGTCCTTTCTCTTAATTCCATCACATTGCTCACTCCCATCCCTATACAAATCCTACTCCTGGTTAGAATGAGTCTAACAATGGAATCCAGATTCTTGGTTATGAGATCTAATTATGGGCTGAAACACATTAAATAAATGTGTTGTGTACTTAATTCCATACACACATAGGAGGCAGTAAGGCTGTTCATCTTTATTTGTCCAAATGTGAACACAATTGCAAAAGCAGGCATATTTATGACCTGTGTTGGGCTTATGTCAATCTAGTATTAATATTCCATTCCCCAGCCTGTAAAGATATGGAAATTATGCCTATGCCAGAGTTGCTCCAGGAAGAGGAACTTCACAAAATACATAGATGTTCCTCACATTGTGTGAAATTCAAGAACTCTGTGTTTTGTTATAGCCAGAGCCAGTGATTTGTTAGAAGGACTTTTAAACTTGTTGCCAGGGAAACTTCCAGGAACTCACAAGGATGACCCCAGCTAAGACCCTTAGCACTAGTGGAGAGGCCTTCTGTAATCAGATTGGTGACTGCCCTAATTGTCATCATAGAACCTTCATCCAATATCTTATGGAAGCAGATACAGAGATGTACAGCCAAACACTGGGCCGAGCTCCAGGAGTCCAGTTGAACAGAGGGATGTGAGGTTATATGTCAAAGGGAGTCAAGATCATGACAGGGAACTCCACAGAGACAGCTGACCAGAGCTTGTGGGTGCTCACAGACTCTGGATTGACAGCTAGGGAGCTGTCATGGAACTGAACTAGACCCTCTTAATCTGGGTGGCAGCTGTGTAGCTTGGTCTGGGGCCCCAATAGTGAAAGCAGTACCTGTCCCTGACTCAAGAACTGGCAGGCTCTCTGGAACCTACCCCTTGTGATGGGATGCCTTACCCAGCCTTGATTCAAGAGGGAGGAGCTTGGTCCTGCCCCAACTTGACATTCCATGCTGTGATAACTCCCATGGGAGGTCTTACTCCTTCTGAATGGAAACAGAAGAGGAGTGAGTGGGGCGGGGGACAGGGCGGGTAGAATGAAGGTGGAGAGAGGGAATTGGAGGAGAGGAGGGAGGGGAAACTGGTTGGTATGTAAAAAAAAAAATTTTTTTTTTTAAAAAGATACATCTGAACTGAAAACTAAAAGAAAAATAAATAAATACTGAATCTAAAAAAGGACTTTCAGAATATCACTATGCTTATTACAGCCTCTCTAAAAGCTCTCATAGAGTATAGACTACATAACCAGAGTTAGACAGAGTTACCCAAAGAATTTCTATTCTACTGACATAAGAACATGGACAGCTAAATTGCTCAAAATTTCCTCCTAATTTCATGTACACTTGTGTAAAGAAAGTTTGCAGTCTTGTTTCCTGTTATGATATTTCATTAAACCCAACATGGTAGTAATGCTGAATTGAGTTTGTATATCCATATCCATATATGGGTATACTAAAATCATATTCTAAATTGTGTGATGAATGTTTGCTAATATCAATCTCTCGATTCTTTTATTAGTTAAAACAACAGAGACTTTTTAAAATTGCCTAAGATACCACTAATAATTTGCTATAAAAGAAGCAAAGCCAAACTGGGATTTGTTTAATATGACTGCAATAAAAAAAAAAAAAAGTCACAATGTAACTGAATGGAAGATACACAACAATTCACAGTGGAGTGTGACTGGCACCATATGACATAGATGTGAGCATTGGTGCTCATCAGGACCATGGAGGAGGACAGATAATTCATTATTGGAGTGAACAAAATGACAAAAGTTTCCTGAAGGTAGATACCTATGGGACAGACCCTAAAGAATGATAGGGAGCTCAAAAATAAGACCACAAAGAAAAGGAGTCCTTGAAGATTAAAAAGCCTGACAGACTGTGAGAGGCAGAGGACAGGCATTCCATATGCCAGCAAGACAGTGTACAAGAGTGGAGAGGCAGCTTCAAGCTGAAAAGGGTAGGAACAGGGATGGCTGTGAGGTTTCCAGAATACTATCTCCAGAATACTATCTGTGAATAGTCTGAAAAGATAATGAGCATCATAAAAACATGGTGATGATTGTGTTCTAAAAATGTCACTCTTGTCGTTATTTCTAAATGCAAGGCATGCACCTGAAGAATGTATTTCTAGAGTACAAAGACAAGTTACAAAAGTCCTAGTCTGTTTCAGATAAAATCCAAAGGGAAACTGAACTAAAGCAGTGGCAACAAGGACTTAAGAAAATAAAACACTGAGAGATATTAAGTCATAATCAAAAGGTCATGGGCATTCACAGGATATAGGAAGCAAGGTGGACAGAAAGAAGGTGATTTCCATGTTTCTCTGTTACCAGTTGGTGCATGGTCTTGTATAGAGAACACAGGAGAAAGACCAAGCACAAGTACTTTGGAGCCTCCAAGTTTAATGTATCTACAGGAAAGTCAGGAGGGCATTGCAAAGTGAATTATGGAAAATAGAACTACAGGGTTAGGTGAGATCTTGCCTGGAGAGTTGGAAGAGAGAGAGGAAGCATTTGAGAAGATGAGTTCATAGGTCAGGAATCCAACCATGATGAAAATTGACTCAAAGAACAACAGGAACATGGTGTAACATCTGAGGAAAGATTGAAACCATAAAGTCCTGAAAAATCAGAGATGTTCTAGGAGTGGCCATAATGCAGGGGATGCATGAAATGCATGAACCCAAGGCTGAAAATACAACTTGTTTGGCCATAAACAGAACTAGAGTGCTTAGTCCTTCTTCTAGACATCCTAATACTCTGTAGGCACAACCCCTAAAACAGTAAAAAGTAAAAAAAAAAAAAAAAAAAAAAAAAAAAAAAAGTAAAAAGACAAAAGAAACCTTTACAATGTATTACAATACAAAGATTTTTGAAATGTATGTTCATGATTCCTGGCAATTAATAGCTGATAAAGCTAAATTCAAGTACACTGAATTCTTCTATGAGAGAAATGACTAAATTGTGCTCTGACATATTATTGACTAAATAAGATCAATTAGTCTTTATAGTCACAGTGCCTTAATATACCTACAGATACATGAACATTCCAAAATAGGAGGAGGAGGGCTCAGGGCTATATGTCAAAGCCATTCTGATGTGACAAATGTCATACTTCATGAAATGTGGTTAACATTACAATTCCCAGTGACCTACTTGAAATGTGTACATTTGCTCCCAACTTTATATATAAACATATAATTATGTAAAAGATTTCTGTTTTATGAGCCATTAAAGAAAGTTTGGCCATAAACAGAACTAGAGTGCTTAGTCCTTCTACTAGAACTGTTAATGACATTTTCTGGAAGCACTAAA